TCGGCGGCGGTCGGCGGGATGGGGCTGCTGGAGGAGTGTGAGGCCGCCTTCGGCTCCCCCGACCTCTACCGCCTCCTGGGCGTTCGCCGGGAGGCCTCCCCCGAGGAGATCCGCCGGGGGTACCACCGCGCCTCCCTCCGCGTCCACCCCGACCGCGCCGAGCCCGAGGAGAAGGAGGAGGCGACGCGGCGCTTTCAGGTGAGCGCGGGACGGGAGAGGAGGAGGAGGAGGAGGCTGGACGGACAGACGGACATTCTGACTGACTGACTGACTGGGCTGGAGGGACCGACTGACTGGGCTGGTTGGCTGGGCTGGGGGCACTGACTGACTGGGCTGGGCGGACGGACGGACAGACTGGGCTGGCTGGCTGGGCTGGAGGGAGCGACAGGGCTGGACGGACAGACGGACGGGCTGGGTTGGACCAACTGACTGGGCTGGTTGGCCGGGCTGGGTGCATTGATTGACTGACTGACTGGGCTGGAGGGACTGACAGGGCTGGACGGACAGACGGACATTCTGACTGACTGACTGGGCTGGAGGGGTGGACTGACTGGGCTGGCTGGCTGGGCTGGAGGGAGCGACAGGGCTGGACGGACAGACGGACAGGCTGGGTTGGACCGACTGACTGGGCTGATTGGCCGGGCTGGGGACATTGATTGACTGACTGACTGGGCTGGATGGACGGATTGACAGGGCTGGATGGACAGATGGACGGGCTGGGTTGGACTAACAGGCTGGGCTGGAGGGACTGACTAACTGGGCTGGGCAGACTGGGCCAGAGGGACTGACTGACTGGGCTGGATGGACATACGGACTGGACTGACTAGAATGGATGGACGGGTGGGCTGGGCTGGAGGGACTAACTGACTCTGCTGGGCTGGAGGGACTACCTGACTGGGCTGACTGTCCCCCGTGTCCCCACAGATCCTGGGCAAGGCGTACGCCGTCCTGAGCGACGCGGAGCAGCGCGCTGTGTACGATGAGCAGGGCACGGTGGACGAGGAGGGCGAGGCGCTGCGGGGTGAGCGGGACTGGCAGGAGTACTGGCGGCTGCTCTTCAAGAAGGTGAGAGCTGGGCTGGGGTCTGGGCAGTGGGTGCGGGGCCCTGCAGGGCTCCCCTCTGCAGGAGGGCAAGCCCCCCGGGATGGGGAAACCCCCTGCTTCAGAGCTGTAGCCTGTCTCCCTCACGGGCTTCGTGTAAAACACAGGGTTTTCTTACGCTGTCTCTTAAATCCTGGTGAATACATCCTGTAACTCAAGGAGTTTCATCTCTCCGCTTCAGATCACCATAAAAGACATCAAAGACTTTGAAAAGAGCTACAAAGATTCAGAAGAAGAGCTAGCTGATATTAAAGCGGCATACATGGATTTTGAGGGTGACATGGACAGAATAATGGAGTCAGTGTTGTGTGCGGAATACACAGATGAGCCAAGAATCCGGAAAATCATAGAAAAAGCCATTGACTCTGGAGAAGTCCCGTCCTACAAAGGTTTTGTAAAAGAATCCAAGCAGAAAATGATGGCAAGAAAAAGGCGGGTAGGTTACAGCAATCAATCAGGGACCAAAAGGAAACATTATTTATAATAAGCTTTTAATGTCCCTTGATAGAAATAAATGAAACTGTTCTTAAAACAACCGTTTGCCACAGGATTGCTGGGTTACAGATCTTGACTTTCACATTTAGTCACCTGTGTTCTCCACCCCCACCCCACCAAATTGCTGCGAAAGGCTTTTGGAGTTGCAATTTGCTGTCACCTATTACTTCTTTATTTTATTTCGTTATTATATACAATGGCTGAGTACAGTTTAGCATGACCGTTCGTTGATTTACAACGGATACTGGAGTGAAGAAGTGTTCATGGGGTGGGAATCATTGTGCTTGCCTTTTGGCAAGTGTGAAACAACATCCTGGACTAAATGGAAGCTGGGTTCTCCAACCTGGCTTTTTTTAGACACTTTATAGAACACCTTACGTGCACATCACAGTAATCTTTAAATTAAAGAGAATGTAGTAGCTGCTAGGACAAAAAAAGTATGGGTGGGGGGAACAGAGTCGGACATCCCATTCAGCATTGTCAAACGATGCAAAAAACCAAACAAAACACTTGGTAACTACTATACAACTTTGTCAAATAACGTGCAAAATACTTTTTAACAAACTAGTTTGTTATTTTAGGCAGAAAAAGAAGCTAGAGAGGCAGAAAAGGCCAAAGACGAACTGGGCCTTGGTGGAGAAGATGACTTGAAAGCACTGATTCAAGTAAGGCTTTTTGCATCTGTTGAAGATAATTACGTTACTGGCTTATACTTGTATTTTCCCTGAGCATCTTTGTATTTTGGATCCTTGCAACTCTTCAGAGATCCTGAGGTTAAAACCTGACATTAATATTAATTATCTATGCGCTTAAATTAGTCGAAGTATGGTATGGGTTTTATTAGCTGCATCTTTTTCAAAATTAACGAAGTTATTCTAATACCCTTACTGCATACACAATGAAAATGCTTCTAGTTGTAGGCAGTGTTAATGGTTGGTTCTTCTCTGAGGGATTCCACGAGGATGTAGAAGTTGATGGGTCTTACTATTTGGGGTTTTTTATCTTGGGGATGGAGGGAAGAAACATACTGCTTACGTTCTGGTTTTTGGAACGTTTTCTGTTTCCTCTTCCTTGTTCTAATACCCTTACTGCATACACAATGAAAATGCTTCTAGTTGTAGGCAGTGTTAATGGTTGGTTCTTCTCTGAGGGATTCCACGAGGATGTAGAAGTTGATGGGTCTTACTATTTGGGGTTTTTTATCTTGGGGATGGAGGGAAGAAACATACTGCTTACGTTCTGGTTTTTGGAATGTTTTCTGTTTCCTCTTCCTTGTTGTCCAGTGGGCAATGTTCATACCTCAAACTGTATTAGAGTTTTGGGTCTAAACTAAAAATTGCTTTGCTTTTTCTAGCTTTATGTAATTGTTTGGTATTTTTTATAGTCACTCTTTACCTCTGTCTGGATACTCTGGAAGTTAGCTATAGAGCTCAGAGTATACAAGTAGGTTTTTGCTTGACAGTAGAACATCTCCTCTATCTTGCATTCCCTGCTTAATATATTCCAAGATTTTATGTATCTTTCTAATTTCAATAGAATAATCTGTATTGGGAAGTAGTAAAAGTTCTGAGGTTGTGGTGTTGTTTTTTTTTCCCCAGAGCAGAAATAAAGATCGAAAAAAGGAAATGGATGACTTTTTGGCCCAACTGGAAGCAAAATACGGGAACAATGCTAAAAAAGGAGGAAAGAAGACCACAGCCAAGAAAGGAAAGAAATAAAGAACTTTGTAGGCTGAAATGTCAGGTATCATTTTCTCGGGGAACATGTGGATTTGGGAGAACTTCAGAGTTTTTCTGGACTGCTGTTTCAGAGTGTGTGTGCGTCAACTTGCTGTGACGGGGGGGTATGACACAGAAGGCATCATGAACAAGGAAGACAAAGCATTCTGGTGCTACTCTTCTAAATCCTTTGGCTGCTCTTCAGTTAAGATCAAACAGATTCTTGACTAGAAGGTTTGTTACAGTAAGGAAGCGGTGTCATGTTTGTGATGCCAGAGTATTTATTAAACTTGTGTTAAAGCACCTTCCCTCCAAACAGCTAATGGGTGTCAGTACAGCTGACGGGTAAAACAACGTCATCCCACACCTTTGAGAAGCTTCAGTGCTGGCTCCTGCAGCTTCTGAGTTGGGAACCCTATCTTTTTGCTACTCACACATTTATATAACAAACCTTCTGCCGTTTTTGAAGGTCTTTGCATTTCAGCTCGATGGGTGTTTTTCAGATATCCCAGTGGTTTTATAAAGATACTTTGGAAAATTGCAGATTTAATAAACGAGAGGGTTTTTTTGCAGAATTCTGTGCCGTGTTGCTTCCCCAGGCCTCTCTGCACTTCCTAAGTCGCTGTTCAAAACAACCTGATAGGGTTGACTCCTCTGACTGATTTCAGTCAAGGAAATACTACACACTCCAGTGACAGCTGAAAATAGGGCTCTGTTGGTAAGTGAGGCGTTGGTGCTGGTGATGCTGTTAGGTGAAAGGACCACCTGGCATTTGGTCTTGGATTGCCCCTGGCAGATGCCTTGGGAAGAAAACAAGACTGCAGCAGATAACTGACCATACAGAAATTCTCTAACATGCTGAGGTGAGGTACTAAACTGAAACATCCACGGAACAGGGGCAGTTCTGTGTATTCCTGGGATTCGTGATGTCCCTTAACGAGGGGTTCCAAAGCTTAGAAACGTACTGTGTGTTATTTCCACAGCGTCCCAGTCAAATCTGCTGTAGGATGGGAGGGATCAGCTACTTCACTGGATGTCAACAGGTCTGTTATCGCAGAAGTGAATTACTTCTGTATGATGCAGAAATACTTTGCTGGCTTTTGCTTCAGCTGTCTTTAAACAACTTGATGTAGCGTGCAGGGTATGAATTTCAAAGGGTGACTAGTTTTCAACTTACTCTAGCTCAAAGGAATGAGGCTGGCTTTATTTTGTGGATCATTTATCAAAGGCTTACGAGCTACAAGGTGACACTTTTGAGCTGAAGGTCCTTATTGCAGCACTGATGTCATTCAGGACCTGACAATTTAATAAAGCTTCCTGGGGGAAGCCAGAGGTAGATGATAACTCTGTTCCCTTTTACTTGGCTGCTTTCAAAAGTTATCCTGACTCAGAGAGTACAGCATATCATTCTGTTGCATAACACATGACCTGAATGTTAACTACAAAAAATAGATCTCTAACAGCCCAGGAGAAGTCTCTCGTGTCAACGATCTGTACAGAAACCAAAAATTACCCAATGGTGAGACTGCTTTCACTTTATTAACACATTGACTCCTCTGGGCTGTAAAATACTACATTACATCTACTAGAAGTCTGTTCATTTGTCTATTTTTGTAACTTTTCTGCATTAGAGCTTTAGAAAAATAGCTTGGTCCCTGAGGAATGGCACGGGATGCTTATCTCCAGTCAGCTTGAGCTAAATGAATGACACACTGTGCAATGTTCCAGTAGTCTTAGCTCTTAAGAGAAGCTGGACTTCTTAAAGAATTTAGCGAATAGAGGCCTCTCTTTAGCATCAGTTTATCTCTGTGCAAATTTTAGAGGTTTAGACTGAGCCAAGAACTCTTTTTTTTCCCCTCTAGAGATGCAAAGGAAAGTTAACCCAGTTACATTTGCACGGTTCTGCTTTGCTTTCTTTTCCCATCTTTTTGATTAGAGCATGCGTGGATCAAGTGGACTCAAGAACTTCAATATTGATTAAAAATTATTAGCTGTTCTGTAGGTACCACTAACATTTGATAGATTGCATACCTTAGAGTGGGGGCAATAAGGGAGACACTTCATAAAGAATATTGACAAGTTTTTTCCATTATGAATTGTAATTTGGGAAATATTAATAAGGAAAGTCAGGAAAAAAGTGCTCTTTAACTGGATTATAAAGAAACAACTATTTTTGTGCAGTGCCCTAACTTTGCTTAAATACAATACGTGCTTATCCTCATGTTGTCTTTACCCTTCCTTGTAATCCAGCGCTTACTGCTTGGGAGTAAGACCTTCAAGTAATCATTTGTTTTGAGAAGCTTGTGTTTCATGTGTTTATCTTATTTGGAGCCACAAGGGCAACTGCAGCAAATACCTCCCATAGGTCTGTCACACGGTGCAGAACACATCTACTAAAAGTAGGTATTTTTAGGAAGGGAGCCTGACCTATTCTGTGAAATCTCTCACAATATCTCTCACCAGGAAGACGATGTAAGTTCCTTGAATGCTGGCTGGAACTACTTGTAGGAAGAGACTCCTTTTTGCCTCTTGGACCTTTTTTAGCCACTTGAGGAAGAGGTATAACTGTATAACACAGGCTGAGTCAGTGGTGTTAGTTCTGTTCATCTACTTTGCTGCCTTATTTTTACGCAACTGTATTAATATACGCTGCAATTACTACAGGATTCATAACTTGCCTAAGCTGAGCAGTATCGAGTGCTCTTGATAGCATAGTATTGCTTTACACATATAAATATAGCTTTAAAAAATTAAACTGCTACTCTTTTGTAGAGCTAATGGAAAAATCAGCAGGTTCTGCAGTACCTGCCTGTAACAACATGAAGCAGTCACAAGCCAGTGATGGGGAAACAGCAAGGACTGCCAGCACTTGCTATAGATTTTCTAGGAGCTAGGCTTTACTGTCCACTGGTGTATATTCACCCTCCCACTGCAGTATAACTTTTTTCTACTGGTAGAAAAAGGAATGTTTAAGTATACCCCGCCTAATCTTTGGCAGCTGCTTCTTTAGATTTATATAAAAATAATTACTCGTAAGGAAGGGTGTTTGAAAACTCTCTGTAAACAAGGTTGACGTCGCTGAGACTGAGAGGTGGTTCATGGCTCTCTGGAGGTGGGTGGGTACTTCTTCATGGCACCTCAGAACCCCGCTTTGCCTTTTGTGCCTGATCCACTTCGACTGTGAGCTTTCACAGAACCGTGCAGCTGAAGACCTAACAAACAAGAGATCATGCACAACTTTAAGGGCTCTGGAAGGTAGTAAAACTAAGTGCCAAATACTTCTTCTTGAGCTTAAAATTAAAATGCCCTTTTTTTGTTTTGTCTGGCTTTTTACTCTAATACATGTCTACCAACTGCATTATATATAACTTAAGTAAGTTTGAGATGAGTGACTGGCCTATGTCTACCAACTGCATTATATATAACTTAAATAAGTCTGAGATGAGCCACTGGCCTCCAGAAGGGGCAAAGTTTGTGCTTTCATAGTTGCTGCATTGCAGGGAACCACTGTATTTCTTATCCAGAAGGGGCAAAGTTTGTGCTTTCATAGCTGCATTGCAACCACTGTATTTCTTGTTATCTCATGAAGTATTCAAATCTGCAGACTTCTTCTGCTGATAGAATTAGCAGAAGTTTGTCTCATGAAGTATTCAAATCTGCAGACTTCTGAATTGCAGGGTTTTTTTTGGTAATACAGCTGTTGTAAAACACATCTTGCATTTAAAGATAGTGGGTGGGTTTTTGAGGGATGGGGAGCAGATACTTATTTTAATTTCAGTAGAAACCACTCCCTTCTTGTTTAAAAACAACTTACTTCAGTGCCTTTAACTTAAATTGCCTCTTGTACCACTTGTATTAGCGGTAGTAGGCCATTCAGCTATTAAACAAGCTAAGAGACCCCTCCTGTCCTCTAATAATCATCCATGTACTTGCTACCTTAATCATGGCAGCTTCCATTAACTTTTACATCCTCAGTCCTGTCTTGTTAGTACATTTTTATGTGGGAAATTCTGGCAACTCCATAAGGAATCCCAAAACAGTGTGATGAAAGGAATCCACTGTGACTTGTCTTGACAGACCTTGCTTTCAGAGAGTGCATCTAATGCCCTGCTCTGTGCCACCCCCTCCAGCTGGAGGTGATACTTAGCATCAGTACAAGTTAACAGGGAGTGCTCCAGGTGAACTCTGGTGAGAGTTATAAAGACAGCCTTCAGAAAAGCTCTTCCAGGGCACAAAAGTTAACTTCTGCTCTACCATTATCTCTGAACAAACTCCCTTTCAACTGACCAGATGAGCTCTTGTGCGTGCAGTGAAGTGAAAAACTGAAATCTCTCAACATAAAGTTGAAATCAGTAAGGTTTACTGGTCTATCATAACACTTGTGTACACACATAGACTTAGACTTGTAGCTTCCTACTATTAAAAAAGAACATCAGTACAAGTTAACAGGGAGTGCTCCAGGTGAACTCTGGTGAGAGTTATAAAGACAGCCTTCAGAAAAGCTCTTCCAGGGCACAAAAGTTAACTTCTGCTCTACCATTATCTCTGAACAAACTCCCTTTCAACTGACCAGACGAGCCCTTGTGCGTGCCGTGAAGTGAAAAACCTAAATCTCTCAAGGTGAAGTTGAAATAAGTAAGGTTTACTGGTCTATCATAACACTTGTGTACACACATAGACTTAGACTTGTAGCTTCCTACTACTAAAAAAGAACCACAACCCTGGCTGTAGCTGTTCTGAAGCATTTATGAAGACTAGTTTTAAAGTGTAGTAACCGTAAACAATTTAAGGAGATGACTTTGCAGTGAAGGAAGGGAAAGTGGAGTGAAAAGCGTACTTTACATTCACAACATCTCTGCCTTCCTGCTGCCTTGACACTTTGACCAATTAAAAATCAGTCATTTTAGATGAGATTCATTTTAGATTATGCCAAGTAACTCCATAAAGTTCACCAGGTGTTAAACAGTAGAAGCATACTCTGATTTCAGAGTACGCATGTGAATTGTACTGGTACAGTTATTGGCTTCAAAATATATTTGGAGTTATCTAATTCAATTCTAGCACAAACTCTTCCAGATAAGAGTGCAAATAAGTTTCTGCCTTCCTGCTGCCTTGACACTTTGACCAATTAAAAATCAGTCATTTTAGATGAGATTCATTTTAGATTATGCCAAGTAACTCCATAACGTTCATCCAGGTGTTAAACAGTAGAAGCATACTCTGATTTCAGAGTACGCATGTGAATTGTACTGGTACAGTTATTGGCTTCAAAATATATTTGGAGTTATCTAATTCAATTCTAGCACAAACTCTTCCAGATAAGAGTGCAAATAAGTTTCTTTTGGACATAATGCAATTTCTTTCAGTTATATAGTTGAGCAGAAGAAAAAAAATCAAGTTTCTTTTGGACATAATGCAATTTCTTTCAGTTACATAGTTAAGCAGAAAAAAAAATGCTTGGACAGAAAGCAGCTGTTGCTAGTTCTGTTTAAATTGGCAAGTCCTGCTCTTAACTTGGATGTGAGAGGTATTGGGGCTGATTACATTAAGCTTCCTTAAATGAGTTAACACACCAGGTGGTAATAAAATAAAAAACCAGCCACACAGCCAAACACACTCTATATGCAAGTATTGAACTTGGAAAATTTAAAACATTAAATAGAACTTTGAAAACCCTCCTCAGTGTAATTTTCTATGTAGGAAATACATCCCTGTCCCAAAAGCTTTACCTCTTGGCTTCATCTTATTAAACGCTGTGACTGCAAAGCATACCTGAGCCTGCTGATCCTCTGCTGGTCCGGGAGCGATTACTGTAGTCAATTACAGTGTAAGAACGGCGGTGCTGGGGATCTGGCTGAAAAGACAGTTCTAGTTAGTTATGTTTGCATGAAAAAAGTTAAACATGAAGACTATAACAGAATTACAAATTACTTAAACGTACGTACTTCCTAATTGGTAAGATGTTGTAAAGGTCTAACTGGAGCTTTTAGAAGTTTAAGAAGGGTTAGATCAACTTTAGGAGTGGAAAACACAGTTGTGTAACACTCTTACTTAGAATGATCCCTGGACCAGTTCAAGGCATTCTCACTGTTTCTGGAAATTGTTCTGTTTCAAAATAGATTTTTAAAAGTTTGTACACTCCTAACTGCTAAGTCAAGGACATCAAAATTAAACACAGAAACCAAACCAGCAGCTATTTAAAAGCTATTGCTGAAATGATAGCTTTTATAGCTTAGATAAAAATACTTTGTTAGTTAGGACAAGGTGTTTCAGTAGAGTATGTGTTTCAGTAAACTAAACCAAGAGCAGTTGGCAGTGAAACAGACTGGCCATCAATAGTACAGCCAACTTGTGCAAGAAAGCAATGAAGACTGTCCCACCCTTGCATTTCCAAATACAGCTGTAGGGATGACTTCCTACCCAAAACTTGAAAGCATCCAGTTTTAAGCCTTCACAGAAGATGCTGGGTTGCCAGAGCAGGTAACATTGCATGTGATACCTAAGGGTATATTTAGCTTCTTCCATGAGCATCTCAATTTTGTTTTTCAAGAGAAGTTCAGTACCACCAGCTGCATATGCGTGTGGTCAGGAGCCGTTTGTGAGGACTGTGGTGTGGTGTCTCTCTGTGAACAAGTGACTTGCTCTCCTTGTTTCGAGGAGCCAAAAAATGATGTGTCTGTTGACCTGTGAGTGTCTAATCAAGTGGCAAACTTGAGGAACTCCCTGGTGCTGATCACTCCTGCCGTTTGGTTCTCAAGTAACGTTTACCTATGTTAATTGTCAAAGCACCCCTATTCAGTAACTAAGGATGATTTGGTAATGATCACTCCTGCCGTTTGGTTCTCAAGTAACGTTTACCTACGTTAATTATCAAAGCAACCCTATTCAGTGACTAAGGATGATTTGGTACAATTTGGTATAATTTGCCGTGCTTTACCAAGAACGTGCTGGTTGTGTTAGGCTTGGAGGCATGATCAGGTAAGGAAAGGCGCTCTTGTAGCTGCTGGTGGGCATCTTCCTGCGTTGTTACACTGTGAGCTCGACTTGAGTTCCCTCGAGATTTCTGCAGTGAAGAATAACACACTTGTGACCTGTTCTTACTGCAGCAGTACATTTAAAATAATTAGCCTAGGAATTAAAGCTAATTTTCCAAGTCAACCATTCTTCACCTAGTTATGGGGAGGAAAAATATTCCAGCAGTAACTGGAATTGAAGCATTCAACTCCGGATGATGCTGTTAGTCAAAACTCCTGTGGCGTTTTTTGGGCATATATTTCAGTTGCTGTCACAAGATAACAAATACTGCACCCTCAGTCAGTTTGCAGAGAACACCAAGTTGGGAGGGAGTGCTGATCTGCTGGAGGGCAGAGAGGCTTTGCAGAGGGATCTGGACAGGCTGGATGGATGGGCCGAGGCCAATGGGATGAGGTTCAAGAAGGCCAAGTGCCGGGTCCTGCCCTTGGGTCCCACCAAGGGGGCCCCTGCAGCGCTCCAGGCTGGGGGCAGAGTGGCTGGAGCTGCCTGGCAGAAAAGGCCCTGGGGGTGTTGGTGGCCTGTGGGCTGAACAGGAGCCAGCAGTGTGCCCAGGTGGCCAAGAAGGCCACCAGCATCCTGGGCTGTGTCAGGAACAGCGTGGGGAGGAGGACTCGGGAGGTGATGGTCCCCGTTGCACCAGGGGAGGTTCAGGTTGGAGAGTAGGAAAATGTTGACAGGGAAAGGGTTCTGAAGCCTTGGAATGGGCTGCCCAGGGAAGGGGTTGAGGCCCCATCCCTGGAGGGATTGAAAAGCCGGGTTGACCTAGTGCTTAGAGACATGGTTTAGTGATGGGTTTTATCAGAGTGAGGTTGATGGTTGGACTAGATAATCTCAAAGGTCCCTTCCAACCTTGACAATTCTATGATTCTGTGAAATAAACTCGAACTCTCGGGTTTGGTAATTTGATCAGCAATGATTACGATCTCAGACTATTCACTAATAAAAAGAAGACTGTATTACCGTTTGCCTCTGGGATCCCGCTGTGCTCACGTGCTCTGCCACTCTGGTGCTACCAATAGGTGGTAGGACGTTATTTCGGCTCAGTGGCAGTGGGGAGGGTGAGGTCAGCTGCTCCTGTGCAGTCAGGCTGAAATGCACCAATAAGAAAGAAAAAAAACATACAGTTTAAATGTTTGGTGTTGTGTAAACATACAATATTGTCAGTTTGTCTGGCATTATGTAGAAAATGTTAAAACCAAGAGCTGCAGAATTTTGCTACACAGAATGACATGGGGTTGGAAGGGACCTCTGGAGATCATCTAGTCCAACCCCCTGCCAAAGCAGGGCCACCCAGAGCAGGTTGCACAGGAACGTGTCCAGGTGGGGTTTGAATGTCTCCAGAGAAGGAGACTCCACCACCTCTCTGGGCAGCCTCTGCCAGGGCTCTGCCACCCTCAAAGTGAAGAAGTTCCTCCTCATCTTTAGATGGAACTTCTTATGTTCAAGTTTGTGCCTGTTTCCTCTTGTCCTGTCCCTGGGCACCACTGAAAAAAGACTGGCCCCATCCTCCTGACACCCACCCTTGAAGTATTTATAGGCATTGATCAGATCCCCCCTCAGTCTTCTCTTCTCCAGACTAAAAAGACCCAAGTCCCTCAGCCTCTCCTCGTACAAGATCCTGCTGTTAGGCCTGGCTACTGGGGCTGTATTTATAAGAGGAGTTCTGCAGCGGGTGAAGTTTTCAGAATGTTTAATATTAGTCATATAGACAAAGGAAGTCTGTGAATGACTACCCCAGCAGAAATCCTGGTGATGGGTGTATGTAAGAGCCAGTTGGGGGTTAAAATGCACCTCTCATCCTGTGCATTTTGAAGGAGTATGCTGTGCAGCTGGTACTGCAGGACCAAGGGGTGCATACATAAAGGTGTCTGTGAGCAGTTGCCATAAAACAGTAGAATCATGTCTGCGCGCTCCCAGACACAGCATTATTTTCTGCTCTGATCACACCCTTTAGGATGAAGTGCTGCTTTATTGCTAACGTCAGCCCAGTGACTGAAGATGAACAGTGTGCCTGGAAAACAGCAGCAAGCCGTATTTTAAGCAGAGCCAGTGAAAAAGCTACATAATGCAAATGCACGTTGTAGCTCTTTCACTTGTAATAGGTGTCAAATAAAACATCTGGGGGTAAAACAAGGCTTCTACTTTCTCCATATTTTGAATGTTTAAAGGAACTAGGTGTAGAAAGCTTCTAAAAGCCTCTTGAAAGGAGCTAAACCAATCCTATTTTGTGCTGGTATTTGCACAAAATACAAAATTAAGCCTTAGTCACAGGAGGCACATTAAATAACAAGTAGTCTATTTTCTAGATCCAGCCTTTTTGTATGAAAGCCTTTTTCACATGAAAGGTGTCTGTATATCATTGTATGTTTGAGAAGCGCTAGAAATGATCAAGAGGCCTAAGCTCTCCCTGTGTCCTAGATTTTACTGGAGGATGTTCTAAAAGAACAGATTAAAAAAGCTTCAAATCATAACCACCATTCTAAAGAAGACTTTCCTCGTGCTGTCTACATACATTGAAACATATATGATAATATAATAAAGGTTTTGAACAATTGTTAAATTGATTGAAGCCTGAGGAAAGGGAACAGAAGCATAAAATATTGGGATAGTGTAGAAACATCAGTTGCAAATAGACAAGGAACAAATCTCTAAATCTACAACAAAAATAACATGCTGGATGAGTTTACTAAACTAAAGTAGAACTAAAAGAAACTAAACTAAAAGAACTAAAAGAAAATTACATCAAATTTACAAAACAAGCGGAATACGGTATTTTAAAGCCTTCATTGTTTCCTAATACCCTGTAGTGCCTGTAAATGACTAAATTCAATCACATCATTATGCCAAACAAAACTAAGATACTCTATACATGATTGGAGGTTCGCCGAGGTCAGTCAGAGCCCTGTGGTTACCAACCTTCAGATTGGAAACAGGTTATCTACGACAGGCACCTTCTTTATAGCCCAGTCTGGGGTAGGGCAGCAACAAGCTGCCCAAGCTCACTCAAAACTGTGGGCTTCTGGGTTCATCTTGAAAACAAGCTACAGGAAAAGAAAGCTGATGGCAAGAAAGAGATAGTGGTATTTGCTTTGCTTGTACTGGGCAGGCTCAGAGCTAGAGTTCACGTTCAGAACTGCCTAAATATGTGCCTTGTGGCACGATAAACATCAACTTCAGCAACTCAGCTTCCTCAGGGGAGATTGTGCTTTAAGGGGCAATTAATTCGAAAACAAGCTACAGGAAAAGAAAGCTGATGGCAAGAAAGAGATAGTGGTATTTGCTTTGCTTGTACTGGGCAGGCTCAGAGCTAGAGTTCACGTTCAGAACTGCCTAAATATGTGCCTTGTGGCACGATAAACATCAACTTCAGCAACTCAGCTTCCTAGGAAAAGAAAGCTGATGGCAAGAAAGAGATGGTGGTACTTGCTTTGCTTGTACTGGACAGGCTCGGAGCTACCGTTCACGTTCAGAACTGCCTAAATATGTGCCTTGTGGCACGATAAACATCAACTTCAGCAACTCAGCTTCCTCAGGGGAGATTGTGCTTTAAGGGGCAATTCATTCCTTTAATCGAATAATGCCTATTCTTTCTAGTCAACATCTCCCCTCTTTTAATTTAAAACCATTGCCCCTTGTCCTGTCGCTACTCTTCTTTGTAAAGAGTCCCTCTCCGGCTCTTCTGTAGGCTCCTTTCAGGTACTGAAAGGCTGTTATGAGGCGTTATGAGGCGTTAATCAAATAATGCATATTCTTTCTAGTCAACGGAATGCTCTTTGTGTAAGCTGGGTTCTCTGAATACGACAACTGGCAGCAAGAAACTGATTTTGAAACGTACAATCGACTGCCCCTGAAGACATCATCCACGGAGCCCGGGGTCGCAGTCCGAGAGAGGCTCACGTCGATGGGGTGCAGGGTACGGGGGGGTGGGTTTCGCCTCCTCGTGGAACGTGAGAGGGACGATGTACTGAGCTCTAGAGCACGATTTGGCCACACTCTGGTAGAGAGAATGGAGCTGGAGCCCGGCCGTTTGTCATCCAGGTCCCTACCAAAAGAATCACAAAACCAAGAGCGGTATGATCAGTATGACTGGTAACTACCCTGTCTCTTTTTTTTTCCTTATGTAACTATATAGAGTAATTTACAGCTAAATTAGAAAAGTATAGGGGATGGAAAAGAAAAAAAGAAGCCTATCTTTGTTTTTCTTATTGAACTATGAACTTTCTGATTAAGAGTCCAGTATAAAAGTCACAGAACAGATTAAAAAAAAAACAAACCCCACACTGTAAACACCGGTTTTCACACCCATGGTTCAGATCTGACACAAGTCCACTTTCTCAGAAGGGAGCAAATCAATTTCTCTATCCCATTCTGAGCTTCATCTTCGTTCAGGACATCAGTTAGTGCCAACAGTAACGCCCCAGCTGTTCACCAAGTGATAAACCAGCAGCAAGAGAACAGAAAAGCTGTACGAGAGGCAAACAGTTCCATAGAGGATACATAAATAAACAAACAAGCAGGAAAAGAATCGAGCATTGCTTTCTCCAGTGTAGGAAATTCTCTCACAATGTTTTGGGTTGAATCCCTCCCACCAGGAGAATGTTCTACTCTACACCAGCCAAGCTACAGCTCTTACAGTGTTTTCTCCATTGCAGGCAGATTCCTTTGCTGTAGCTGGATCCCATGTATCACCATCAAGCCATTTAGATTATGTTGAGAGCCGCTACTTGACCCTTGAGAGAGATTCACCTGAAAGTTTAAAAAATAAATAAGTAAATTACTGTTTGGCAGAGATATACACACGTTTATATTTTTTGTCCTCGTAAATAACTTTGGAGAAAATAAATCAATTTCTTCCATTACATGTGGATATATACTCAATTATATTATTTCTCCCCTCTAAGACAGGCATCTCAGCATTCCATTATCCTTGCAAATGGAAGTGCTTAGAAAATGTATCCTACCCTGATGTTTCATACTTAGTATTTTCCAGCTGAGCTCATCTGCATGACAGGATCTTCCACCAATGGCTATAACCAGAACCTTTACCTGAAGCTAATTTTTAGTGTATGTTGACATTTTATGTTAAGAGCAGAACTACAAACTCCTTTCCTGGAATACAGACTGATCTGGAAAACTATCAAATTCCACCCACCATGACAGCAGCAAATAGAAAATAACCAAAGCTTTAATCTCTCCAGCATACATACTTGAGGTGTTTTTCTCCTCTTTTTGCTTTTGCGGCCACATCTGGTTTTGGGGCACTACACACACAGTGTGAGGAAGATGAAGAAGGGGCAGGGGGTAGAAATAAAGGAGAAAGAAATAAAAAGAAATAAGAAGGAAAGAGTTGAATTAAATGGAATAAACAGATAACATTTTGGTGCTCACCACTCTAGGAGCAGATCATCTAAAGCAGATTATATAGTCAAATTTAGTGTCTGAGAAAAAAACCTGACTCTTATACAACTGCATGAGATTTGTCCTCTATTACCTGATGAGTTAACTATAGATAAATGAGTGAGAATGGGATCTCATACATGCAATCCTTGATCTCACAATTCAAACATCATTAAAATGTAGAAAGAGCTACCTCATTAATGAACAGTCACCACACGGTTGTGCAGTATGGATATAAAGTTTAAGTTTTAAAGAGAAAAGTAGGAATTAAAACTTGCAGCTGAGGAATAACAGACCCTAAGTGTTGGAAAGTACAGTCAACATTCATACAAAATTCAAAGTAGTTATGTATCTAAACAGCTCCCTGATGTACTGGATCTGTTTGCTTAGGTAGTGCTGTATTGATTAGTCCCTACACAAACCAGCTGGCTAAAAATACTTACCAGATTGGACGTCACTGAGGGCATTTTGGTTTGTGGCACACGAGGCAACAACGCGAGCAGAGGATCAAACTGCAAAGGGCTTTTGGCGTCTGCTCTGATCGTTTCTACTGTTATGATATTTTTCTCATCATCTAGGCAAAGCAACAGAGAATTCCTGTCAATACAGGCTACCAGCATTGCTAACTTTTGACAGTACTATGAATCCAAATATTACAAGGAGAGTCCTCTTAGAAGCTAAGCTCTAGTAAATCTTTTGAAAGCGTGTCTCACACTGCTAACCAAGTAAATAACGTGGTGGGTTTTTTTTCCCCAAAGAGATTATTCCCAAATACATCCTTCTCTCCTTGCATCCTGGCAGAATTAAGTAACTGGAATCCCCTTTTGAATTTTCCATTTAACTGTGATCCTTACCAGAGGCTGACCCTTCCCAGTGCCTGCGGATTAATTCTTCCATGCAGCCTAGGACTTCACTCCACACATCATCGAACACAAACGTGAGCACAGAATCCTTCATGCAGGAATGTGGAGAGACAGGAGGAAACCCCAACTTCCTTCTACCAGAGGACAGCCCTGTTTTCCTCTCGTGCAACTCCTCCTCCCTGTAAAAATGTAAGCATTACCTGTACCATAAACACATTTTCTTTGTCTCCTACATTTTGTTGCATTTATTTAACAGGATTAAAACATCAGCTAAGGCTGCATTTCTGTTCTGTTTTCTCTTAAACTGAAATAGATAGAAATGACTGAGGCAATCACCTTATCGGATTAAAACATCAGCTAAGGCTGCATTTCTCTTCTGTTTTCTCTTAAACTGAAATAGGTCAAGGCAGCTGGCCAAATAGCTTGCTTAGAAGAAGTTTTGTATTTAACACACAATATTGTTTTCTGGGAGGTGATAGTTTAATAAACAGCAGCATCAAATAACAGTCTAATACTGAAAGAGGCAAGCTTCTGTACAGTGAGCACTTGAGCTTTTATTTCTTCCAGAATCTACCACTGATCTAAATGAGAAATGACTGAGGCAATCACCTTATTGCTGCACACCTTGGTTTCCTCACACAGAATGGCTGTAAATGATACTTCAGGAATAGTAAGTCAAAGAGATTATTCCCAAATACATCCTTCTCTCCTTGCATCCTGGCAGAATTAAGTAACTGGAATCCCCTTTTGAATTTTCCATTTAACTGTGATCCTTACCAGAGGCTGACCCTTCCCAGTGCCTGCGGATTAATTCTTCCATGCAGCCTAGGACTTCACTCCACACATCATCGAACACAAACGTGAGCACAGAATCCTTCATGCAGGAATGTGGAGAGACAGGAGGAAACCCCAACTTCCTTCTACCAGAGGACAGCCCTGTTTTCCTCTCGTGCAACTCCTCCTCCCTGTAAAAATGTAAGCATTACCTGTACCATAAACACATTTTCTTTGTCTCCTACATTTTGTTGCATTTATTTAACAGGATTAAAACATCAGCTAAGGCTGCATTTCTGTTCTGTTTTCTCTTAAACTGAAATAGATAGAAATGACTGAGGCAATCACCTTATCGCTGCACACCTTGGTTTCCTCACACAGAATGGCTATAAATGATACTTCATGAATAGTAAGTCACAAAGGAGATCAAACTTCCATTTAAAAATAAATATTAATATTTACAGTGATATTTATTCATCACATTGTTTGGCTCTGTATCTAACATCACTACAGAATGCTCAAGACATGAGAGAAGATTGTTACTATTCATGACTGTTCAATGCCACTCTCAGCCTGCAGCTCTAACAGCAGGGAGGTATTCAGGGCAAGGGCTTAATTCAGTTTTAGGCAATTAGACATAATCAATGAGAGGGGAGAAAAACCGTAATTCACATTAGCAAGTGGCCTTTGCTGCAGACTCTTCCACAGGGGAAGAGAGATTCTGAAGTGTGAAACCTGGAAGACAACTGCTCAAAAATTTTAGATTCATCTGCCAAAAGAAACTTTATAGAAGGGAGATGATAATACTGATGCAAGCACATTTATTATGGCTTTCATATCTGGTCCCTGAGTTAGTACTTAATGTCCAAAAGCTACAAACCTGGGGAAAATAGCAAAAAACAAAAGAGATACTAGTAGAAAAAGCTATAATACTTCTACTGTTATTTTACAGAGACAGCAATATTGTTTGCTGCAGCGACATCTCTTTGGCCTGGACAAAGCAAGCCACCTACCAACTTGAAACTCATGGTTCATGTAGCTAAGTGGCTTTATTTATTAAAACCAATTAAATAGTTAGCGACTGACAGTACTGTCCAGAGTCCTTACCCAGGCCATATGTTCATATTGTTGGGCTGAATAAAGTCAAGGGGCAAAAAGAATCCTCTTTATGCTATCCTCTCAATCCTTTCTTCTTAAGATAAAAATAGTGGTAATTATTTCTTGGCAAGCATCAAATCCACTCCAATTCTTAAATTACCACTGGAAAGGTACAGCTCCACCCAAATTGCTAGTAGGAAACCAAAGCAGCACACTGCTAGTGCATAGCAAACAATGACGAATTTGACATAATATAAGAAATATGTGGCATTTAAACAACATTTATTAACTGTGCCGATAGTCTTCATTATTAACTATGCCAGGCTCTCCGTTATGATGGGAAGAACTATTTAAACCAGGCACAGAACCAGCTAGTATGAAAAGTTTAAAAAACAAAACAAAACAAAAACCAGAAAAGTAATTTAGCAAAATAAATTGTTCTAGGAAACGGATTGGGAGAATTCCCAATGCCCTAGCAACCTCAAGCCTTTGAAAGTTCTTTAGAGGAAAGATATATTAAAACAAAAAAAAATTCAGCAAATACTTTATCATCTAACATCAAACCCAAATCTATGTATCTTAACAGCAGGAATTCCAGGACACTGGTCCTAGTTGCTATCTTAATATCCAATACCTACACATCTCTGCGGTCAAATGCTAAATATTCCTCCATTACGCCTTCTGAGACAATGACTCCATCGTCCCCTTCTTCACTCTCTGGAGAACACAAGGCCGGAGACTTGGAACGGTCAGGCTTTTTGTGAACAGGAGTCACAGACAGAGGTACCTTCTTGCCAAAAACACTAAATCTGAAGGGGTGACAGTTTGCAGAAAGCAGAAATGAAAATAAGTCGTCATTCCACTTCAAGTAGCAGCATTTGGTGAAGGGAGAGACAACATGGTAGTTACGGCCAAACAGTAGGAAGACCAACAAATTATGCATTAGAGGAAAAACTCTTTTGGTTTAGATACTTTAAATTCTTGCTAAGGAACTTGAAGCTTCAGGGAAAAAAAATAAATCAAAGCTAATTAAAACCAATCTAAAACATTAAATAATAAAATAGCGCTAATGTAGTGCTTTGTATTTTTGAAGTTCTACACAAATTTAACAGAGGATTAACAATAAAACCATCTATAATACATGCATATTCTTAAGAATTCAGCAGCAGCAAAGGTATTTCTATTTACTGCCCGGTTTACTGCAGTTATCAACAAGCACAGCTGCGCAGTCTGGCTATTTTGAATGTTAGTTCTTTTAGTTAAAAAGGAAAGTGTGCTGTGTGCTTTTAGATAAAAACAATGTCTGCTGCGTTCAAAACTCTGCTGAACAGAGTCAGGCTTCACGTTTTAAGAAGCCTTTTGAGAAGGAAATGACCTTCCCACCCCGGTGTGGTTTGGGTTATCTGCTGGTACTTACTCATTAGAATCTTTTTCTTGTGGTGAACTTACATCTGAGGAACTCAAACTGCCGGAAGGTGAACTGGAATACCATCCATACCCTTCATCCGTGGGGATCACTATCTGCTTCCCCACAACCCTGCCACGGCAAAAGCAAAGGATCGATACATCAGAAAATGCTGAAAGTAAAATTACTGAAGCGTGTAATAACACACTGCAGGGAATCCTAAACGCTCTATAGGGAAGCTACGTGGTTTTCTTGATGATAGTTTAATGTTGTTTCAGGTGTTTTCCCTAGTACAGATTGCTTCGTGTCAGGTAAATACATTAAGAAGATTTTGCTTGAGTTTTTTATGCTCTGCTAATTGTAGGACTTTCGAATACGGACAAAACTATTCCAGTACACATAATGAAGATTTAAAATTAATGTTTCCAGACAGCCATTAGGAATGCTGAGCTAGGGGAGGAGGACTTTTGAATTATTTGAAGCACCTGGCTTTTAGCTTTACCATACACCTTTTCCAAGAGGATTTTGCCATGTTAAAGCCAAGTCAGCTGCAAATAACAGTAATCCTCTGGCAAGGAACCAAATGTGAGATAGTGGAATGTTTATTAATGACAATGGCAGGAAAACTACCAGAGCAATCTTTTTATCTCTATCTACTACAGAACTGCCTAAAACCACCCAACTACTAACGTTGTTTTAAAAGCAACTCTTTCCATCCCTACCCTTTTATAACTCTGTGATGGTACCAGCATGAATCCAGAAGATACCTGAGATGAGGAAAGTTGGCTGTCCACTGGTGGCATTCTTCCCGCAGACCCTCAACGTGCACATTTTCTTTCTGCTCGTAGAGAAGCTCGTCAATTTGTCTGAACATTTGCTCTACTTGTTGTGTGGCAGCTTTATCAAATTCCTAGAAAGGAAACTTATTCAATAAATACCTAGTGAATAGCATTCACAGGGCTACAAAGATGATGAGGGGCCTGGAGCATCTCTCTGACGAGGAGAGGCTGAGGGACTTGGGGCTTTTTAGTCTGGAGAAGAGAAGGCTGAGGGGGGATCTATCAACACCTATAAATACTTAAAGGGTGGATGTCAGGAGGATGGGGCCAGTCTTTTTTCAGTGGTGCCCAGGGACAGGACAAGAGGAAATGGGCACAAACTTGAACATGAGAAGTTCCATCTAAACATGAGGAGGAACTTCTTCACTTTGAGGGTGGCAGAGCCCTGGCAGAGGCTGCCCAGGGAGGTGGTGGAGTCTCCTTCTCTGGAGACATTCAAACCCACCTGGACATGTTCCTGTGGGACCTGCTCTGGGTGGACCTGCTTTGGCAGAGGGTTGGACTGGATGATCTCTAGAGGTCTCTCCCAACCCCATAGCATTCTGGGATTCTGTGTGATTCGGGAGGGGGTGTTTTATTTATTTTTTTATATAATCAAAAAAGCCAACTATTTGTTTAAAACTTAGTGGTGGGACCGATTTAACCACTTACAATTCTTTTGCATAGAAAGACATGAACTTTAAAATCATTTCTCCCCCCCAGAGATGATGCAGACTGATGGCAGCTACGTAAAAAGCTTACATTGACACAACAGATTAAATATTAAAACATTTAGAAATATCTGCACTGTGATACTAAGTTAAAGACACAGCAATTTACATAGAAGAAATCAGAACAGGAAGGATAAAATTCAGCGACATTTTAATGAAGTGGAAAATTTGTTGCTTGCATGTCAGGAGGATGGGGCCAGTCTTTTTTCAGTGGTGCCCAGGGACAGGACAAGAGGAAATGGGCACAAACTTGAACATGAGAAGTTCCATCTAAACATGAGGAGGAACTTCTTCACTTTGAGGGTGGCAGAGCCCTGGCAGAGGCTGCCCAGGGAGGTGGTGGAGTCTCCTTCTCTGGAGACATTCAAACCCACCTGGACATGTTCCTGTGGGACCTGCTCTGGGTGGACCTGCTTTGGCAGAGGGTTGGACTGGATGATCTCTAGAGGTCTCTCCCAACCCCATAGCATTCTGGGATTCTGTGTGATTCGGGAGGGGGTGTTTTATTTATTTTTTTATATAATCAAAAAAGCCAACTATTTGTTTAAAACTTAGTGGTGGGACCGATTTAACCACTTACAATTCTTTTGCATAGAAAGACATGAACTTTAAAATCATTTCTCCCCCCCAGAGATGATGCAGACTGATGGCAGCTACGTAAAAAGCTTACATTGACACAACAGATTAAATATTAAAACATTTAGAAATATCTGCACTGTGATACTAAGTTAAAGACACAGCAATTTACATAGAAGAAATCAGAACAGGAAGGATAAAATTCAGCGACATTTTAATGAAGTGGAAGATGTCCACAGACAACAGCAAAGCAAAAAGCAATGCAGACTGGTGTGAAACACTGGGAAAGTGAAGGGTGTTCAGGACCTTTGTTACATCTTCTTGTGGAAGTGAAAAATGGGGTCAGTGCTTGGGTAATTTAAAACTAAACAGTTCCATCTCACGTCCAAGAAAGAAATAGCACACTTTGTGTTGGTGAACGGGGAATAAAACAAATATTTCTAAATGAAAATAATGTTTTAGGGGTTTACTGTATTTTTGAGAAGCATACAACTATGCAGAAGTTTGATAAACTCACACCAAGTGTCTGAAAGACATCCACTCGCATTTGGGATTCCATAATAACAATACTGATTATTCTGTACAGCTGCACTCATGCATTAAATGATTTGCCTTCCCAAAGTTTTAGATGGAAATACAGAGTATTAACTGAATAATATGAGCCTAATACATTTTGATCTGAGAGAAAGGAAAGATAGGGAAGAGCTAAAAAATATGTTCTTTCTGTAACTACTGTTGTTATTTATTGACAGATCCAATCCTCATTTTTATTCTGGAATGTATTTGCAATGGTATTTCAAATATCTTTATACTCACTGGGCTACATTTGCCTTGGATGACTACATTCTACTCACATCATAGCCCCAAGAGAAGACTGAGCTGTCTTCGGTGGAGGTATCAGCATAACTCTGACTAGCAGACCATGAACTCCCATCATCAGCTGCAGTAACAGAGGGGTAAGCTGATTCCTTCCAGACTTCAGGCTCCCTGAAACACACATGTTGAGTTAAAAAGGGAAGCAAAAAACCCCCGATGATACACAACGACAAAAAGCAGGTAAGTAAACTTTTATTTCTGTACAAAAAAACACAGGTGTATCAGAAGACGTCTTAGCACTGAGAGAGTTTTCATAGGGTAAATATTTACTTCACAGGTATTTAAGCAGAAACCACAGTACACAAGTAATTATAAGAACTCCTAATAATCTCAGTGATAATCAGTAACTCCTCACAATTTCAATGATACAGAAAGTCTAGAAGTAAAACAAAATGTAGATTTACCAAAAATTATCTTAGTTAAGCCACAGACTATTTCTAGTCCTGGTTCTACACCACTCAGAAATTATTTTTATCATTTCCCCTCTTGTTTCTACCACAAAATTAGATGACCTGGGCTATTTGCGAGCTGGGTAGTTAAGCCACAGACTATTTCTAGTCCTGGTTCTACACCACTCAGAAATTATTTTTATCATTTCCCCTCTTGTTTCTACCACAAAATTAGATGACCTGGGCTATTTGCGAGCTGGGAACACAACACAGACACTTTTTATTATTTCCAAAACAGGAAGGACATGTTCTGCAATGCTACAGACCAGAGATAAAGCCTAAGTCTACCAGCTTCTGTGAAGGTCACTCAAGACAAAGGTGTCTGGTTTTGCCGTTGTCTCTGGGTCAAAGAATTGTTTTATGTTTTGGCAGGTACCTTGAGCTCTCGATGGGGCTTTCAGCCGCAGGAGCAGCCGGGCACACGTCAGCCTCTGGTTCTGGCGGTGGATGATGCCGCAGGGCATGTCTGGGAAGCCCTTGTCTAAAACAAGAAGTGGAACTTTGCATTATTTATACAAATAAACATCTACAGAGTTCCCACGCTTTACAGGGGTTTTATTCTGCTTTTCAATGAATGCACTAATTTGCATACCAGAGCTCATTTATTATTATTAGGAGGCTAATTCTTGTTAGTGAAGGTTTAGAATTAAGATGTCAAAACCAACTCTAGGCTAAACACGGAGTTAAAGGTCTTCGCTTAGAAACCAGTGTCATTCTTTAAAGTGTTGTTGTGAATGGGCTACAGCTCTCTAAAAGCAGATATAATGTTGTTGTCCCTGTAAGGGACTTACAGTCAAATAGACCAAGAGTGGCCACCAAACTATACATAAGCAAGTTAGGAGAAACAGTATTTAGAATCATAGAATGGTTAAGAGTTGGAAGGGACCTTAAAGACCATCGAGTTCCAACCCCCCTGCCCTGGGCAAGGACACCTCCCACCAGACCAGGTTGCTCCAAGCCCCATCCAGCCTGGCCTTGAACCCCTCCAGGGATGGGGCAGCCACAGCTTCTCTGGGCAACCTGGGCCAGGCTCTCACCACCCTCACAGCAAAGAATTTCTTCCTGAGATCTCATCTAAATCTCCCCTCTTCCAATTTAAAAACATTACCCCTTGTCCTGTCACTACACTTCCTGACAGAGTCCCTCCCCATCTCTCCTGTAGCCCCTTCAGATATTGGAAGGGGCTCTAAGGTCTCCCCGGAGCCTTCTCTTCTCCAGGCTGAACCCCCTCCTCACAGGACAGGGGCTCCAGCCCCTCTGATCATCATTTGGGGTTGTTTTTTTCCAAAGTTGAGATGTCTAGGAAAGGGACAAGAAAAGTGGCAGTAGCTGGAGACAGAAAGCGATATCAACACAGGAACCAAAAGGAGCTACCTAACAAAACTGTGGGATTTGTTGAAACCTTTAGCACCTCTCTTTCCCTTCCCCCCCCACCCAAAAAAAAAAAAAAAAAAAAAAAAAAAAGAACAAGTACTGCTTTTCCATCTAGCAGTAAGTTTTGCAAGGCGATTTCATCTAGTGTACCGTCAAAAAAAAAAAAAATTATATACACATCTAAAACAAAAATATTAAGACAAAAACTAAACCAGGAAAAAAAAAAAAAAAAAAAAAAGAATCTGGGTCAAAAAACCCAGCCAAGAACAGGGATTTCACCCCCTTCTCTCACAGCTGTATTTCCCAAGCGCCGGGCCCACCCGCTGCCCAGCGGGACTGTCCACCCGTGCCCGTGGGCTGCCCTCACCCCGGCCGCCTCCCGAGGCCGCCCCTACAGCACCGGGCCCCACAGCTCCGGCCTGCGGCCCCGCCGTAACCGGGGCCTGCGCTCGGCCCTGTCAGAGCGCGGGGTTCGGGCTGAGGTGGGGGGGAACAGCGGGGAGCGGGGCAGCGGGACCGGGGAAGGAGGAAGAGGAGGTGGCGGCGACTCACGTCTCCAGAGCGCCGGGGGACACCGGCTTCCGCGCGTATCGCGAGATCATCCTCGGCTGCTCCGCCGCCGCC